ACAGCATTAACAGTACGTATTTGGTGGCAGCTCACTGTACATACTACAGCTCCTTCTTGACATGGGAAATGTTTGGCAGAACAAAATTAATACCAAGACTACTGAAGAGTACTAGAATTTTAAAGCAAAACATAAAATTTAAACATATTTAAGAAAAAAAAAAGCTCTCTTTAAGCAACACCATGATCACAGTGTAATGTGCCCTTCTCTGATTCTACCTTTCGTATACAAATGTAATTCTGAACTTTATTTTTGGAAAGCTTTAAAAAAGTCTTCATTTTAAGGTAGTAGTTTGAGAATTATGCCCAAACCTGAAAGTCCCCAAATGCACAGAAAGCTTTTGAGTGTACAAAAGCAGTTTCAGAAGGCACTGCACATTAGTTCTGCATTCCAGGATCTCTCCGGGATGAGCAAGCAGCCCAACATCTCCACACCCCTAACTGCTCCACACCCCTAACTGCTCTACACTGCTTGCTGTGATAAGGCAGCTGTCAGAACCTGAGAAGTTCCTGAAAGCTTCCCTCTGTATGTACTCTGGAGGTTAGCAATGTGGTAACAAGTGCGCTATTGAGGAAAACTCAGTTATCTGTCATAGAGAAGATCTGAAAATAACGATGGCTATCTTTGAGTAGTGATATTACAGGGAATTGTTGTCATTTCCCTATATGTCTTAATTTTTCATAATAAACAAGATAGATTTAGTAATAAAATCACCTAATTCTTTCGTGTAAAAACAATAGCTTCTCACTTAGTAATTTCTCTTTAAGAATTACCATCATTTCCTTCTTCCTACATTAAAATGCAGACACAGAGTTACATCTACAATTGTTTATCTTAAGTGAAAACTGGAAATGATACAATACTCAATAACAGGAGAATTATTTGGTAAAAGGGGTTTATTCACAAGTTAGAATACTATAAAACTACTTAAACTGTTATATAAAATAAGCAAAATGCTTAAGCACATGTGCTATCACCCATAAAAAAAATATGCATTAAAAAAATACTAAAAGGAGGGCCTGGACTGGTGGCTCTCAGGAGACAGAGGCAGGCGTATCTCTGAGATCCAGGCCAGCCTAAGGTTTACTCAGCAAGTTCCTGGCTAGCCAGGGCTACATAGTGAGACCCAATCTCAACAAAACAGAATACTGAAAGGAAATGTGACATGTTAAGAATAACTTATTCCCATTAGTAGAAGAATTGTATACTTTCTGTCTTCATTCCTTGCTAAACTTTTTCTTGGGTCTTTTTCAGACAGGGTCTCTCTGTAGCCCGAGCTGGCCTGGAACTCATTTTGTAGACCAGGCTAGCCTTGAACTCACAGATCTGCCTGCCTCTGCTCCCTAAGCGCTGGGATTAAAGGTGAGGGCCACCTCACCAAAAGGTAAACAGAGCATTAAAGAATGCAAGCAGTTGCTCTGGAATTTTACTTAAACAAAATCCAAACAAACAAGGAACCAAAAACATTAAAAAAAAATTAAAAACCAACCAACAATACAGTTAACTAGAAGGGAAAATTTGCTTTCTAATATAGTATTAATAAAATACCACTCAAGGACATTCACAGCACAGAAAACCAGCAACCACTGTTGCCCAAAATAGTTTAATAGCATAAATGGTATTATTCTTTTCCCATTATGCTAATTTTACAAAATTAGCTTCTGTAATTCATAAGCCACAAGCCAGCAATATAAAGATTTTATGAAATATTACATTAGGAAGCTGGATTCTACCACCCCCTGCCTTCTCTTTTGTGTGCAAAATTTACAGAGTTCTAACCCATGAATACTGCTTCGGATGATGTAATTATATTTCTTAGTGTTAAGCTACTTGATAGATAAGACCAAAATGAAGGTTTCTTTTGTCTATTTTTTTTCCCTAAAAGGGAAACAGACTTCAATCTCCTAAGCTCTGCAAAAAAAAATATTTTTATTGAGTGATAAGAAGATAGAGAAGAATCAATTAGAAATAAAAGGATTCAGGGGCTGGAGAGATGGCTCAGCGGTTAAGAGCACTGACTGCTCTTGCAGAGGACCCAGGTTTGATTCCCAGCACCCACATGGTGGCTATGAACCATCCTTAACTCCAGATTCCAATCCGGAGCCCTCTTTTGACCTCCGAGGCACTGGACGACCATGTGCACTCACATACATGCAGACTCATACACATAAAATAAAAATAAAAAGGATTCAACTGTTCACAATATACATGTATAAACTAAGCCCTAAAATTTGTCGCAGGGGTGGCTGAGATGTCTCAGAGGGTAAAAGCACTTGCTGCCAAGCCTGAAGACCTGAGTTCCAGTCCCGGGATTCACGTGTTAGGTGAGAACCGACTCCTGCAAGTTGTCCGCTGATCAGTGCATATGCGTGTGTGCGCGCGCACACACACACACACACACACACAGAGGAAAAAAAATTTTAAAAATATTTTATTTATTATTTTTATTTTATGTGTATGAATGTATTGCCTGCATGTATGTGAGTGCACACGTGACGTGCATTGCCACAGAGGTCAGAGAGGGCTTCGGATTCCCCTTGGAACTGGAGTTAAGGATGGTTTGTAGCCGCCATGTGGGTGCTGGAAATTGAACCTGGGTCCTCTGCAAGAGCAGTCAGTGCTCTTAACCACTAAGCCATCTCTCCAGCCCCGAAATTCTATTTTTTTAATTGCCTCGGGATCAAACCTGGAGGAAAAAAAGATCTCCAAGTTTTAAAACACATAAGTTTATGCTGATGCTAAAGAACAGTATATAAAGGAGCTGTCATAACTGATAGTATAATCATATTTGGCTGATATTTTCTTTATCCTCTATTAACTGTTCTCGCTGTAATTGCTGTAGTATGCTAAGCAATGAGAATCTAAAATAATGCAAAAGCATTGACATTTTCACTCTTTATAGTTTGTATAGTAGTTGCATTTTTCAAAGACACAAATATTTATTCAGTGAATAAAGAACAATTATTGCTCAAGGGGGAAAAAAACACCTCCGTGAAAACAAATGGTGTACTTTAAGAAACAACTGTATCTATGCTCTTAATGTAAATTCCTTGGAAAAGTTCCCAAAGCAACTACTCAAATTTTAAGACCTACAAAATCTTTTCTGAACAGTAACTGCACCTCTCCTGTGCCTTAGCATCACCAAATTACCACAAATCTCAACTCACCCACCCAAAATTCACACTATTCTTCTTACATTCTAATTAATAATTTCTTTCGAAAAGCACAAGGAAGGACTAAAATTTTGGCTCTTAACATAAAACCATCTTACACAGACCTCACGTACACTTTAGGGTCTGAGTGTTCTTTCACCACCTGACTGGTGACTTCAATTACAAATGCAACTGATCTGACAGTTAAAGGCACTGTTACTCCACAGTGCCCCCTAGGCCTCTCACTAAGAACTGCCAGTTGGAAAGGGACAGCATGAGAAACAACCAGAGAATGTCAGTTACCATCAGCTTGGCTTAAATAGTTCTCAAATACCAGACTGACTAAATTCGATGTTAAATAACAGCTGACCACCAAATACTGCTAATAAGAAAGAAATTATAAATTTACGGATCTGGTATTCACCCACATAACAATATAACTCAAAAGTACAGAGAACCTCTGTAATATGCCATTTTTGACAGTCATTGCAAAGGTCTCATAAAAATATGCTTATAAGAAGCTTCCTTTTTACCTAACGTAGGGGAAAATGGCATGACATTTGGCCATAGCTCTTTACAAAAATGAAACAGTTTTATTCGTTTTTAAATATGCTGGGATCAGATTAAGAAATGCAAAAATTTAGTAATGTCAATATGCTTCATTATCATTACAAGCCATCTAAATTACTAACACTGGTAAATTTGCGAGAGTAAAATTTGTGATCTTGGTCCCGGTGTCCCACATAAGTCAGATTGAGGTGGCTTCAGGGATCAGTTCATCAGGACAAAAAGAGACGACTAAATGACAGACGCATGCACCTTTATGGAAAGGGACATGACGCAAAACTTCTAAGTGCTAAGACAACACTCGGGTATTCAAACGCCCTTCGCCTTATATAAGTCATTCTGAAAAAGTTCTGCATTCAAAGACTTGTACCTTCGTGTCACTGGGGGGCGGGGGGGGAACCTGCCCAGGATGAAAACTAGGGGAAGAAATCGAGAAAAGGTGAAAGTCCAGCGGCAATCACAAGGCAGAACGGAGCAGCCAAAACCACTAGGTTGTATTCTAAAGACTGGTTCTGTTTCCATCGTTTTTCCAAAGGTATTTAATTTGCACATCTTAAAATAGAGACCTCAGGAGAGCAGCTTGAGGCAGTGAAGGGGGGGTTAGGTAAGAACAGAGACTTGGGAGAAGATATGTGCAGTGCATTAGAATGCACACGCAGGGGGATGCTGGAGTCTCCGTCAGGAAGCAGAGGACGGCTTTCGGTGTAGACAGCCCATCTGATGTGGCTAAAGGAATTGAACACCTAGACAAGGGACAACCCCATACCGCCAGGACCAAGCCGCCCACGGTGCAAGACGAGATGACCATCTTTAACCAGTTCTATTGTCTGGAGTATTCTATAGACACCTCCGGCGAGAGATCAAGCTAGCCAGGCACCCAACCAGAGCCCCAAGGAGCGAGGATGCATGGCGGGCCGCCCACAGGCCGGCTGCACGCCGGGGCCCGCGCACAGAGCCGGGTGGCAGGCGGTCCCTGCTCGGGCCACCGGCATCGGTACCCCGGAGCACCGAGACTTCCCCTCACACCCCACCCCCAGCCGAGGGCGAGGAAGACGCGGAACTTGGGCTCGGGAGCCGAGTCCACAGACCAGGTCGCGGCCCCGAGTGGGAGGCTAGCGATCAAGCAGCGTGTGTGTTCCCGAAGCTCCCCCGACCTGCGCCCCTGGGTCCCCTCAGTCCCAGGCCCGCCCGGCCCCGGCTACTGCTGCTGCTCGCCGCCCCCCCTCCCCCGCGAGTCCCAGCCACACGGCAGCCACCCCCTCTCGGTCCCGCGGGCCGCACCTCCGTCTTGGTGATCCGGTGCCGCCCCAGCTTGACCACGGCGAAGTTGCCCTTGCCCAGTGTGCCCTCGATGTCGTAGAACCCCACCCGGACCGGCCCGCGCTGCAAGTGCCTCGGGCCATCCGCCATGACCATGCTGGGCCCCCGCTGCAGGACTCGGCGAGGGGAGCGCGAGCCAGCGAGCCGGCGAGGAGCGGGCGACGGGCGGCGGGCAGGCGGCTGAGGTCCGGGCGACGGCCGCGGCGCTCGCTCCTGCGCTTCTTCCCTGCCGCGGCACCGGGCCC